AAAAAAAATTGTGCCAACAATAATCTGTGTATAACAGATCTTGCCTTCTTACTGGGAGAAGGAAGAAGGATAAGGTAACTCTTACAATTCTTCCTGGCTGCTTCTGGATGTGTTTCTACTCTGGCAGGTCTGAGTGCAGTAGCCTTGGCACTATTTCTGCCTTGTCTTTATCACACCTGTGTGCATCGTGCTCTGCTGCATACTTGATGATTCTGATGGATCAAGGGTGTGTCCACAAACTCCCTGTGCCTGTGCAGATCAGTGCCCGACATCAAAGGTGACATAAATCATTTTCCCCAGGACACAATAATGTTCAGAGTATGTATAATTCCACCGGACATAGGCATTGTCTTGCTGATCAGTTGAGTCATCACATTTTCCATCTGCTGAATTATGCTTCAATCTGAGTTATTTTATCCCTTGTATTACTTTATAATACCCACACAAGTGGGCTTCACTCAGGCAAAGTTCTCATCTATGGTCAATGAATTTTGCCATTCATGACTTCTGACTCATTTCTCATGCTTCACACAATAACACTGTCTATCACGTTTGCTGTATGCTAAACTGCTTGTGTAAGTGAGATTTTTTCAGTTCTATTGCATTTTGACTTGTGATTGATTTATTCCAGGTCAAATGTAAGAAATGTCCACACAATACCTCTCTACTAGCTTAAAAGAAAAACCCTCCACAGTCCCATAGAATTTTCAGTCTGGTTCAGGTTTGGTTTGATTCCCCAGTAATAGACGTATTACAATAACCTTAGTAATCTTATAATTTAATTTATAATGGAGGTCTTGAACTCTTACTGTTGCTAACCTCTTATCCATCTCTTTCAATTTTCCAAGGCTTCTTGAATGCTTTGTGTATCACAATGATCTGGGTGTTTTGGGAAGCTAGAAGGGGTTTATCTAAATTATTTTTGGGTTTAGATGATCTTATCAATGACTTCACTCTAGCTTCAAAAGGACACTTCATAATTCTAAAGCTCCTCAAGGTTTTATCAACCAGAACAAAGCCGCTTTTCCTTTGGTCTCTTCTTAGCATCCACATGAAAAGTGCACTTGAAAAATCCTAGGGATTGGCCTTTCAAAATTTGTTTGCCATGATTCTAACAACGTTGTGACTTTTCTTTTTCAGCTAATTACTTACTTTTGTAATACTCTAAGTGGTGCTGAAGAGTTGAGATGGCATTTAGGTTGTGGAGCTGTAGTCTGCTTACAAATGCGACAGTGCTTTTCCATCTCTTTGTGCCACAGGTCCCTCTTTTGCTGTATCATTCCAGTTTTTCCCTTTCAACTGAACAAAAATCAGACTAAACTTTGATTATTCCTTTCAATGTCTGTATTTTCCACCACTTCATTTATTGGTGGGCTTGCATGCAGGGTTTGTATGGTTAAAGAAATGATGGATATTTTCTCAGAACAGTTTCTGATGTCTTAAGTCTCATGTTTGCCCAGTGGACTGAGAAGCTGAAACACATTCCGTGTGCCCACATGATTTATGTCCAATGGATTATCCTTCTGACATGACGGTGTAAGGCTGGCATTTGCATTGCAGGTGAGCAGAGTGCAGGAGGACAGCCCTCCAAGCATTTCTTCCTTATGACAGCAGAGTTCACAAGGTTGGTAAGTGAAAACCCCTTACCTTTTTACTTACTTCCCCCCATGCTGCTCTGCATTGTAGCTTTCCAGTGTGCATCTGCCCCTTCCATCTTGAACTGAATTGGTGAAATGCATCCGAATAATTTATTTAGCTCTGCTTGCCTGGGCAAATCTTTAATTAACAAGCATACAAAGCGTAGCTTTCTATTTTAAATATATTACGTCTGGTTTATAAGAATAGGACTGTTCAGATTTCAAGGGTTTTCTTCTCAAAGCCAGTCCCTCTGATAAATTGAAGGGATTATGTTTTTGTTGGCTGTCTTTGTTACCTCCATCACTGTGTTTCCAATTTATCAACATAGTTTTGAGAAATTGTTAGAATATGTTGCACTCGTAAGCACCATGGGGAGAAAAAATATTCATTTATTACTGCTATTGTGTTTGATTATATTACGCATATCCAAAGGACTAAAATGAAATGTCATCTTTAATTCTCCCCTTACAGTAGACAATATCACCCTTTCTTCTCTCTTTCCAGAAACAGCTTGGAAGTCAATTCTTCATTTTCATTTTAAATCAGCCATACAGAATAGAAGCAAATGTGCATTAAGGACATGGCAGAAGTAATGGGAGTCTGGAGATCTGAGCTCTGTTTCTGGCTCTGCCTTTAGCTCTTTACAGTCTTGAGCAAAGTCATTTGACCTCTGGTCTCCACTCTCAGTTCATGAAATAGGAAGACCATTTGCTTCCTACAGATGTCTCTAATGATTTGCCAGAATCATGTCTTGTCTAATCACCTGTGTTTAATATCTCCTAGGGTCTTGCAAAATCAGTGAAGGCTGAAGCAGCAAATTTTCCATGCAGCAGAAAATAAAATGTTTTTGGAAAGTTAAGACTTGAAGACTACAAAGAGCTTCTGAAGGGTCCAACCCAGGCCAGGAGAATGGGTCAGAAAGCTACTGCTCTTCGGTGTTGTTAAATATCTGTAATGATCTATCTGAGCCTGTCAGGAGAGGGAGGTATGATTGGGACAAAAGGCTGAACCCTGCCCTCAGCACTCAGTCTGGTGCTGCAACAAACTGCTGGGGTGGAGGCCCAGCTGCATCCACTTTGTGCAGATGGAGCTGAGGATGAGCACCCAGACTGAGGGGAAAGGGGTTCTTAGAGAACTGCCTTAAGAACTGTTTTGCTATTCCTGACTCCTTTCCTAGGTGAAGGCTGAATTTGGAGTGGTTTGTAGTCCAGCTTAGAGGGAAGAGCAGAGTAAGTCTCTTCTTTTGTTGCCATGTTAAGCTGAGCAGAGGTTTCCTGAGGACTGACTCTGAGCAGCACGTTGGAAAGGCTGAACATCCTAGGGTGAGTTTCTGGGAGCTGTGTGCTTTCTTGGGAGTGAGAGAAGGGAAAATGTTTCCCTTGCTGGAGGTGAGGGGAGTATAAAAGGAAGAGTGCTCAGGCTGCCCTGAGCCAGGGCTGGGGACAGAGGGCCCTGTTATGTCCCAGCTTTAGGCACTGAGGGCTTTTTGTAAATAAATAGTGCCTGTTTTTGAGTGGGCTTCACAGTCCAGTGTTACTGGAACAGAACTTTTAGATCCCTTTGGGCTCAGAGAGGGCTGGTCCACTGCCTGCTCTGGGTCTGGGGCAGCCCAGGGAGGCTGTGCTGAGCTGCAGTGCAAACTGCATCTCTGCCTCCTTGTGCGATTTGCTTCAGTGATTAATGACAGCGGCTGTTTAAAAACCTGGTGCCTCATTTGCAGTCTAAACTTGTCTGGTTACAGGCTCCAGCCAGGGGCTATTTATCTCTGTGTGCACACAGAGAGGTGGGCACCGTGGGGGAAGGGGTGGCTGCTCACCTGTGGCTGGGGGCAAATGCCAGATACAAGATCCTGGATTTTCCCAGTGTCTTGTAGTGAACATTTTTCAGCTGCAGCATCTTGCAGAGATTGTATTGCCCTCGAGGGAAGAGGGTCTCTGCTTTTGCAGAGCCCCACGGGGAGGCCCTGGGCCCCTAGAATACCCCAGCAAGAGACCTGCTTTCAGTGGCACTGCTTGCAGTCTTTGGCTGACTGCACAGTGAAGGTGCAGATGGGGTGTTGAGAGCTTGCAAGATCTGAGGGTAAAAAATTTAGAAAGACAATTGTGTCATCTTTAAAATTAAATCTCTCCCTGAGGATTGGGGCAGAGATGTTGCTTGTCCAGTCATTAAACTGCAATAGCCCAGGTTCCTCTGAGCTGGGAAGGGGACACTGAGCCAGCAAACGGGGTTGTGACACTGTTGCCAAATGGGGGATGTACAAGGGTTTTAAATAGAGACTCAGTTGCTATACAGAGAGGGAATCTTGCTGCTGCCTTCCTTCTTGGGGTGTTACCATTGTGAAACACCCACATGCTTCTACAACTGCAAAAATAATCCTCCTGCCTGGGGTTGACTGCAATTCTTCAAGCTCAGGGGCATCCTGGGTGATAAGCCAAGGGAGTCCGTGGGAAGTGGTGGCAAAGGGAGCACTTGTGTGTGAATCATAGACTCATGAAGGCTGGAAAAGATCTCTAAGATCACAGAGTCCAACAGTCAACCTCACAGTCATGTTCACCACTAAGCCGTGTACCCATCTGAATGATGCCAGAATGAGCAGGATGCACCCAGTGAAAGCAGAGATCACTTTCTCACTGCTTACCTTGTGACTGAAGAATCTTAAAATTATTTATTTCCTATTTTATCTGTGTAACTTCTGCAGCAGAAGTTATCTGTGAACGTGTCACCAGCTTTGGGATATTGGGGCTGCACTGCTGAGCGGTGCGCTCCCTTCGACCTGGCCCTCGGTTAACCGGGGAGACACACGGATTTCTGCAGTGTGTCGGTGATGCTTGGTTTGGTTGGGGACTGGGGTTCCCCGGGCGCTCCCTGCCCGCGGGGCGCTGCCGGCTGTGCCCGGGGCCAGGCGCAGCCCCGCGCGTTCCGTGTCCTGCGGGAGCGCGGCTCGCCTGCCCCGGGCCGACGGAACCCCTCGGCAGCGGGGTCTGCCGCGAGGCTTGGCAAGGGTTAACGCCGAAGCCCCACGCCCCCTTTGACGGAGTCGGGCCAACCTCGCCAAATTTGAAAAGGCATCCGGGGCTGAGTGTGCGCCCTGGGAGCATCGAGCCGCGCTGGCCCCGGACCCCCTGCGCGGGCAGCAGCCGCCGCCACCGGGGCTCGGCTTGCCGAGGGTCGGGGCTTCCCTTTGGCAGCCGGAGCAGCCATCCCCGTGTGCCCGGCACCCCGTTGCCCCCCTGCCCCGGGGCTCCTCCGTGCCGTGGGATCCCGCCGTGACCCCGGCCGGGGGAGCACGGTGTGGCCCCGCGCCTGCCGTGCGGTGTTCGGGGGAAAGGCGGAGGCGGTAGGAGATCCCCGTTCTTGCAAAAATGCAGCTTGCTCTTTTCTTGTCCTGGTGCTGCTGCCTGCATGGATGCGCGCTGGGCACCGGCTTCCTCTATCAATTCCCAGCATCAACCCTGCAGCACAACTACCCAGAGCAGAGCTCCGGCTCGCCGGGCAGCGGCTTCGCCAGTCGCCGGTGAGTAAGACCGGGTCCGCCTCCGGGCGAGGAGGCTGCGCCCCGCTGGTGGCTCCGGGGGGACAAACGGACACGGCAAAGCCACGGGCAGCGGTCCCTCGCAGGGTGCAGGGCCGGGCTGGGCTGCCCGCATCCTCAGTGGGGTGCGGAACGCTCCCTACCTGCCCGCAGCAGCGTCCGCCTCCTGGGGCAGGGAGCGGCTGGGGAATCGAGGAGCTGAGTTTGGGTAAATGACACCCGCAAAGTCTCCCCCTGCCGCGCCCAGCCCGCCGGGCAGGGGAAGGGGTTTTGCCGGGGCTGCGCGTCCGTGCGCAGTGCGCAGCCGGAGCAGGAAAACCTCCTGAGCCGGGATACTGGGGATGCCGGCAGAGGGAACTGTTATAGCCCTCGGCTGCGAGGAGAAACTTGTTCAGCTCAACAAAGGAAAGCCCTTAATTGCAGATCTCTCTTCAAGAGCTGCAACTTCCAAGTAGCCGTTTAAAACCATACCTCCCACTCTTCTCCTCTCCCGCCACCCCAACCCAATTTCTTATAAACTTAATATAAATCAGGTTTGATTTACTGTATCTTATTGCTTCAGTAGAGCAAACAATTTAGGCTTCTCCCCCTCCCCTCTGTTTTCTCTGGGTATTTCTCTAGAGGTGAAACAGCTGTTCAGATGAATGAGCTGCACTGTATAAAGCAAGAGAGTGGCTTAACCTGATTCCAGTTGTTCTTGAATTACACTTTTTTCTTTTTTTCCCCCCTGTCATTCCCTTAAATGGGGACTTGAGATTTAATATTCAGGGCTCGTCCATCCTGTCTCTACCTCTTTTCCTTCTCCCTTGCTAATACCTAGTCTGTGTGAGTTGTGCTGCTGTTAGCACCGCTTACTTGGGCTGGGGATTGGGAAAAGGCACGGACACCGTGGATTTCCGTGTCGGGGGTACAGGGGCGAGCACCAGCACTGTGCCTTGCATGGGGCTCGCATATGGTGCGGATTTCCCCCCGGGGAGAGGTGGCTTTGTCCGCTGCGCTGTCAGACAGACCTGGGGCTGCAGGGGGTGTGATGTTAAACTACAGCAACTGTCAAAGGGTTTGAAACGGCAGAAAATTACAGGAGAGTAATGGGATAAACCTATCCAAGCTGGATCTCTTCCAAGGTACCCCCTTCCCAAAGCATGAGCTGCAATGAGAACCACATGTCATTTGTCTTACATATCTATTACCCTGCAGATCTTTGTTCAGAGCTACCACGCTTACATGAATGTGGACTCTGCTCACCAAAGACCTTCCCCAGTTCCCACTCTTTCCCAGTTTTCCTGTGTCTCAGTGGTTTGGATAGCTGATGCTTTGTCAGGGGAACATGTCTCTCTCCAAGTCTATAAAGTGTTGTGTCAAACCACATAAACCTGATTTAAACAATAATGTTGGGGAAAGCTGGTAGATTTTTTAGATTTATTTTTTGTGCCCGATGGAACTTTGCCTTGGGAGAATCTCCTAGTTTATTGCAGATGGGGAAGTAAAAAATTGAAGCGAGGAAAAAATCACCAGTGGATGTTGTGAAAGAAAAATTCAAGTGCTCAGTCAAATATCACACGTTGAAGCAATCTTTGTATGTTTTAATTTCCCCTTGAGTGGTGAAGTTTTGTTGTTGGCAAATGTCTAACAGCTTCACTTTCTGATGGGAAAATCTCTGTGGGAAAATTTTCTCCAGCCACAGTGTTGGACCTTTGAGGGAAGTCTCCTGCCGGGTGCAGCTTCAGGTTGGGATAGCTGGACTTTTCTGGATTTAATATGGTCCATGAGAGGAGTGAGGCTTTTTGCTCCGTGTCTGACATTAATCTATATGGGTGTAAGGTCTTTTTTCAAGGACTGATTTAGACTGGTATAGACAGGTTTTTATGTTGTTCAGTGTCCCTTTTGCCATTGAAACATGGGATCTTGGTAGCACCTGAATTATGTGAAGCAACAGCAGCTCCATCACAGCAAAGCTTTCTGGCCTCTGCCCTTGAAAAACAAGATGGTGGGAAGGTGATTGCTATTAATGGCACTATATGGCCATTCTAACTTTCTCTTCTTCAACCTTCCCAGTGTGTGCTTTGTCCAGTGACTTCTGGCACTTTACTGAGTCATAAATAAGCAGGGACAGAGCCTTGAAAGTTTGTGCTGCAGCTCCAGGTGTTGGTACATTGCAGCATATACTGATGAAATGCTGTACAGCTGACAGATTTCCTTGATACAGGACACACCATATTTCTGCACTTTTCTTTTCCTGTCCTTGATCAACAAGTGGTTGAGCTGTTTGGGAATCTGCTATTGATTTTCTAAAAATTAACTTGTCATAAGAGTTGTATTTCTCCAAGGGGAGAAGTTTCTGTAGTCCTTTGTGCTGATATATCCCTTGGTATCTAGGTTGCAGTCTGGCTCAAAGATGGGCTCCTGAGGCTCTGAGAACTGCTGACCATATTTCCTGCCAGAAAAGTAAGGCCCTGAGCCCTGTAAAAAACTTGGGGTGCTGGTGAAGGGAAATTTGGAGGAAAAAAATATGGTTATTCACATTCTTCGAAGTGAAGCCATGGAATACTTGTTCTGGAGGAATGATGTATTCTTTGTTCCTTTTTTTTTTTTTTTTTCCTCCTTTAATGAATATTTTAGCTTCTAGTTGGCTTCAGTTAACAGGTCTTGATTATTAGACCAAAGACACTTGTAGTCTATCTTTGCATGTGCTTGAAATGAACTTCTGATGTGCAAGTGCTGGTGACTGAGATCCAGGCAGTAGTGTCTGTTTGCATTCCATAGACTGCAACAGCCTCACAGTTTAGCTTGAAATTCCCATTCGGTGCATGCATTTTGAACTTGCTGCTATGTTAAGGAAATGAATGGGAAGTGGACTTTACTGGAAGCATAAGAATGGAGGGGCTGCCTGCCAAGGAGAAATAGTCCTCCAAGCTTTGAGAAGCTTTGCTGAGTTAAGGGAAGCGTGTTCCCATGCTGGAAGTAGCTCAGTTGTCAAGGAATGTCTGTTTCTGTGTTAGTTGTCTTTGGGGTTTGTGCTCTCCCAACTCCTCATTCTATTTTCCTGTACTTTCTAATTAGTCATGCATTGAGTGCTTGTGAACTTAATTGTGAGAGTCAGAAGCTTCTGAGAATAGATGCAGGGCTCAGACAGGAAACCTCTTTGGATGAGAAATGGAGGTGGCTGAAAAAAAATCCCAAAACATGAACCCAAAAGCAATGTAGGATGATAATTTTTTTACTGGGATCATTACAGTGCAATCACAAAAGCCCTCCAGGGTGGATGCAAGTCCAGCTGTGGCAGTTCGGTCTTCAAAACACTCTTCAGCCTAAAAACTTCCTCCTGTTAATGAACATTAGAACCATGATGTTACAAATAACAGGACTGTACAAATAGGTATTATCCACATTCTGCTGGTAATTGCAGGTTTTGTCACAGTAATTCCCAGTGCTTCCTACATCAGTGATGTTTCTTGAGGATGGATATGGAGAGGAAAGTAGTATCTGGTAGCTGTAAAAGGCAGAGGCTTTGACATGGAAGGCCAGGTGGCCTTTAGCCATTTCATGCTGTGACTCAAAGCACAGCCCAGAAGAGCAAGACCTGGGTTCCAGTTGCTCCTCCACCAATGGTTTACTCCATATTTTGCTGTGGGTTCCATGGAATAGTTAAACATGCTCGGTGAGCTGCTTTGATGTGGGAATGATATTTAAACAGACATCAGATTTCCAGTACTGCAGCTTGTCTTGCTTCCCTGAGAAACCCGAAGTGTTGGTGCTTGAAATATGTAGCAAATTATTCCTTGAGGCTACTAATTTCCCAACAAGGTCACTTGAATGTCTGGCTCTCAAGATGTCTGTGTGGGCCTCTTGCAGGTAGATGTGTTCTGTCCAGGATAACTGCCTGTGTTGTGCCTGGGCCTACAGCTACATCTGTGCTGGGCTGGAAATGATCCTCCCCAGAACAAATGCACTGTAGTGTAGCAACCTCCAGCCTCTTAGGTGAGGTTTTAATTCTTGTAAGTAACTGTGAGTCTCTTTATGCAATAGAAGCCTGTTCTTTATAGTAAAAGGCCATCTATGAATAAATATCCCTATTTATGCAGTCTGTCAGAATCCTTTCAGAATGCGTATCTGGAGTTTTCCTGATGGATTTTTATTAATTCTCTCCTCATTAGAGAAAGATGACTTGAGCCTTATTTCAGCCTCAAATTCTGAACCTTTCGTGACTCTTAAGTGGGTGTGGAATACAAAACTATACATATTGGCCAAATGTGGTTCTCTCTCCTTTTAGTGACAGGATCTCGCTCTCTGAGTCATTCTCTCCATCACCTAATTGTCTGCTCATTGCCTGAGGTCCCTGGTTTGCTATGGACTGAGAGGATGTCAAGCAAACAAACTGGGATTTGTGTCATGCTGAGTCCTCTGTTCTAATTCCACTTTGAAGTGCCCGACCCAGGTAACCAAGGGGTCAGAAGGTCTTGAGCTCATCACCAGACCCTGGAACTATTTGGTGTTTGTTCCCTGGACTCTGCAGCCATATGATCTTCATCTGACTCGTGGGGTTCAGGGCTGTAACTTTGCAATGCAATTAGCAGTGGAGCCAATGGTTGTCTGAGGGTCTGGTGACACTGGAATGGCTTTGAAATACCAGATGTGATTGTAGCTACTGCAGTAAATTGTATTCCTGTAGGAAATCTACTGTCCTGCCTTTCCAGCTGCTTGTGTGAATAATTTTCTCTTAGGTATGTTTCATTTACCAGCTTGAGGGGAGAAACCAAAGGGAGCAGAAAGGCAAAACAATGGGTGCCAGTGAACTTGTGCTCCCCTTGGATAAATTAACAAATGTTTCCTTCAATGATCCTTTTTTTTCGGTTTTCCCAAAGTTGAGCTTGTTAGGGTGCTAAAGTGCTGGTGGAAACAGGTCAGGTTAGAAATGTCACAGCTGTGCTTGGGGAGTGGCTCTGTGACACTGGGATCATAGAATATTTACTCACATCTTTGTT